GGGGGGGCCGGGGGCAAAGAATGAGATTCTGAAACTGTAGTTACCACAGTGTAAAGTTTCATACAATTTTTTCCCAAATCTTAGTTATTTTTTTTCAAGTATTGATATAAAGTTCAGAAAGACCTAACGATCCGACAGGAAGCGATTGCGGTTATGAAATCATCCTGCGAGAAAATGACGAGCTCGAGTGGTCTGCATAATGGACTCTTTAGTGTTTTCTTCTCTGTAACTTTGGAGCAGTTAGCGTCAAAGTGATGTATTCCCATGGTCTTTCATTCATTGGCCACATTAGCTATAGCTAAGTCATATCTACTGACGGTGTCCATGAGCGCGGTTGGTACGCGGTCGGAGTTCGGCCAACTTACCATGTTGGCGTGCGAAAATATCCTCGATAAGAGTAGTGAATCACTCAGATAACGCAGCTTTAAGAATAGCCGGCGTCGTACTGGAGTAAGACCACACAAGTCATATACATCAACAAAAACTTGCAATTGGAATTAAATATGAATACAAGCGAGTGATTTTTCGCTATACCTGTTGTCCATATGTTTGAAAAAATTCAGCGAGCTCAAAAAAGTCTCTTATTGCTTTCTTGAACCGAAATATTTTAATCTTATTTGAAGAAATTTTCAGCGCTCGGTCATAGGTTGCCGAAAGACTTCCGGAAGAGGGAGGAGGAAAAGCGAAAATTGAATAGGATCAGGATTATCGTCTTTTTATGAAATAATCAGTTATTATTTGTACAATCACTGCATTCAAAGCGAACGCACATCCTGATATGATACAAGATTTATCACGGAGATCTTAGTCTTTCCTCTATCCCAAATTTGAAAATCAACGCTTTCTTTCGGGCGTCTTTTGTAGCAGTGTGCCTTCAATTACGACCATCATTGTCAGAAGTTAATAAATGAAAATATTTTTTAAGAATAACCTCCCGACCTGAATTTAAAGCAAATTTGCGACCAGACTATGATCGTTTGTTTTTTTTCACATGACATTCCTTCGAGTATTTTGCATATATCACTCTTAACCTTACCAAGGTGCATAACTATTCATACGACAAAATCAAGGCATTTAATTAGTAAGAGCAGAACGTGAACAAAGAAAACTTATTTCCAGACTTGCAGGGATTAGTCGCGGCGCACTCATCGCTCCGCAAAGAGAAGGATTATAGTCCTAGAGAATCGACACTGAGCATAAGGCTATCAGTTGTTGAAGAGGCATTATCAACGGGTTTTGAGTTTCCCGTCTATATAGTAGGATTTTGTGGCTTGTTTTTAGTTTCACCGCGCCAACATGGTTAGCTTGTTGTGCAAACACATTTATCATGGTATAATAATATCCTATCTTTTTAATTTTCTTTCTGCATGCAAAGTATCATTTCCTCAGGTTTTTCACTTGCACCAAGCCAGAAAAAAGTTTTTTTTTTTGCAATAGCTTTTTCAAGTTATCTTGTATTAATGTCCACTGAATATAGCATGTATCAAACACCAGCAAGAGGCGGCCTTTTTTTATCTCATTTGATTCCGCAGTGCGATCCGGGTCTACCCAGAAATAAATCATTCGGTACTGTTCCAGCCTTCCGGATTCAATACGATAACTTCATTATAGGGTACAATTCAAATCCAAATGCTATGAACCAAGGATTTTCCCCGCGTGGGGCTGTCGTGATCGTGTTGCCGACGGACGACAGTTTATCCAACCTCAAGTCCTTTATTTATTTTTCTACGACTCTTTTGATTCGATCACTGCTGATTCTAATCGGATATTTTGTTCTTACTTCAGACGTTAGCGGGTCTTGGGAAAGGAATTGGTGTTGAGAGAACAGTACACTTATACTCAAAGAACAGCGCCAAGTATATAAGGATCAATAATAACAGCGTAGATGGCTTTGGTAATCGTTCAGATCCGAATGGTAAGAACAGCAAAAGCTGATTTCAGTCATAACGTCGCTTAACCAGACGCAGACGCCAAGTAATCTTGAAGCTAGGGGCGCAATGCATTGTTTACTCAAGTCAACTTTACATCGGCGGTGACTTAATAGTCCTTGCAGTCCGTCTGAATGCAGCTCTATTTGGAGGACACAGCAAAAGGTTTCCAATTCTTATTAGATTCAAATTCTTTTGTTTTGTCCTCCAAATTGAGCTGCTTTGACACCACATGCAAGGGTGCTTTTATTTTATTTTGTTTAAGAGAATATTTATTTTCTACCCCCACGACAAAAATGCGTTCTAGGTTTTTAATGTGTGGAATGCCTCCTCGCCCTTCTCGTGGATATTTTGTTTCTGCTTTAGTAAGCAGCCAATATTTTCTGAGAAGTCGTCGTTAATCATGCTCTTTCTTTCTCTTGTTGCCAATAGCTCAACTAGTGCTGGAATCAGCTGGTTTTAAGGGTCAAGTTCGAATCAAATCATCCGATGGTAGCCGTTATTTGTGTATGTCTGGACACGGTAGCCTTATGGTAGAGGTACGTAAGAAGACCTTTTTTGCTCTAGGCAGAAATTTTCTCTCTACCTTAACTGGCTTTTGAATGATAATCGCCATGTGCTATTTTCTCGACTGAAATTATGCTTCGAGTATTATATTACAGCTAAGAGAAAATCATGTACAGCTATGGCAAAAAAGATTGGTGAAAGTTTTCTTGGATGCACTGAGTTTGGTCTTGATATGCAACATACGGCATGCTAGATGCAACAAAACCTACACCAACCTTTTGTGAAATAGCTGTATATTCCCTTGAGTATCATTCTTGTTAGTAGTAGAAATGTACTTAAAGAATAATTACAAGGACTTTCTTGTGATTCAATCAGTTTTTGCAAGAGGTGGTTTGCAGTCACTTCCATGAAAAATGAAATAATCAAAGACAAGGTGGCCATGTTGGATGATCGATAAATCACAGAGACTAATTCACTAAACTCTTCCAATATGGCGGCCGTGACAAACACCAACTATAGCCAAACCCAAGGTCAAATTCATGAGTGACCTAGTGATAGATTTTTGGCCTTGAAAGCTTAGTAAAAAGGATGGATGATCGATAAATCACACGACTAATTCACTAAACTCTTCCAATGTGGCGGCCGTGACAAACACCAACTATAGCCAAACCCAAGGTCAAATTCATGAGTGACCTAGTGATGGATTTTTGGCCTTGAAAGCTTAGTAAAAAGGAAATCGATATGTCCGAGGTTTATTTTTGAAGTTCACATCTGTCGTTTGTCAAGCCAAAAGATGAATGGTTCTCATGCGGTCGTGGAATCGACCTTGGCCTTGTTTATTAGCTTATTGCTATGTTCTAATTCTAGGTGACCATTAAAAATATAATCTCCAGGTGAAAGACAGGTCAAAGGCTCTCTAGGACCTTTGCTGGATACGTAAAATAACTCTAAATAGCTGTAATACTGAACTAGTAAACTGATTGGACACATCATTGGTTTTAATCTAACGATTTCTCTTTTCCCGTTTTTAGAACAAAAATCAAGGACAAAGCTTGAATCGGTGTGTATTCTATCAAGTCCATCATCCAAAAGGATACACAGCCTACCGATCGAAAATCCAAGCTAACTGGTATCTTGCGATCAGAAGGAACGGTGCACCGAAATCCGCAAAGAAAGTACGGTTCTCACAAAGGGCAGCGCATTTCATGGAATTAAGATGATGAGGATTGGATGTATTAACAGCGATTGCTATTGGATGAAAGGAAGGAAAGCAGCGATTGGTAATTTAGAATCGACGAAATCTTATTGGCTTTAAATAGAGTAAGATGATAAAAGAAATACATCAAAAGTCTGGCAAATGAAAGTGAAGTAGTGCAAAAGGAATGTGACAAGAAAAAAATATTTCGCTTAAAAAGGTAATTCACAGGAAACTTTGTTGCAATAAAAAGCTAAATAGTTTTTAAAACCTTCCCTGAGTGGGAAGGAATTTCCAGGGAGTGTCTTGTGTGTTTGAAGAAGGAAGACCCAACCTCACTTTCACAACACCCAAGGCGCTTCCTGGAAAATAAGGCGCTTCCTGGAAAATAAGGTCAATGAAGTTACTAATCATGACGTGTCATGTGTCAATATTTTGACTTGAAAGTACGTCATGGAATATACGCATTTTATTTATCTGTTTAATTTATCAAGAGAGAAATATTTATTTATTGCTATCTAAAATATGCTGTCACGCTGAAATGTCACGGTACCTAACAATTACTGTTAGCGTGACAAGTAACGCAAGACAGTTCAATAAAACCAACATTCGACATTCGAAACAAGAGGTATTTTCAATCAAGTGAAAGCAAAATTTTAATTTTAATTTATGAATCTTAAAATATTTTAATAGATTTTAATGAAATATGATATATATTATCATGATAGCAGATAAAGCAATATTTCTATAGTTATTTATCAGAGATATTAATATATTTATAGACTGAGTGCTGTAAAGATTTTTATTTAATTTATGATCAGACGACTGAAAATGTCATTAATATATTATAGTATATTTTTCAAATTCAGAATATTTATGAGAGATAATAAAATATATCTTTAAAAAAATATGGTCAAAAGTGGCAATTTTTCTTATTCATCATGATTAATATTATTCGACTTTCTGTGCCTGGTGGGTGTGTGTACTGTATTTGTGCCGTGGGACGGTGCAAGAGGACGAGGGAAAGGGGGGTGGGG